GCGAGGATCGATGCGCTGAGCGGGGACGAGGTTGAGAAGGAGGCCGAGGCGCACGGGCTCGAGCTCACCAGGTCGACACGCAACAAGTCGGGCTACGCGGGCGTCTTCAAGAGGAGCAGAAAATCGGCCGGCGCTGCCGACCGCTATGAGGCGCTCTGGGCTCCCGGGCAGAAGGAGCTGGAGAGGCTGGGGCTCAAGTCGAACGTGAGCTTCGGCACGTGGGAGCGGCCCGACCAGGCCGCGCTCGTCCTCGCGCTTGAGAGCAAGCGCATCCTGGATGCGTCGGGGAGGAAGCGCCGAGGGAATGGCGGCGCAGGAGGCTCTCTGGAGAGCAAGAAGCACGCCAGCCTCCTGATGGGACTGGCAAAGCCGGCGCACTCACCGCCCTGCGAGCGCCCGCCCGCCGCCGCGCCGGCGACGACAGCGGGGAGCGGAGAGAGCAACGGCGCCGCGCTGGGAGCGGTGGCGGGGACGACAGAGAAAGAGGCGTGCGGGAGTGTTTAGAGAGAGCGTGGTAGGGGCACGCATGAACGTGGATCGTGGATGACGCCGGCGGACGGATGGTTTGGGAAATTTGCGCATAATTAAGTACATGCAACCCTGGCAAGCTGCCTGATCACGGCCAGACAAAACTCCTGAGCAAACACACCGCAACAACAGTCAACACCGCAACACAACAGTCAACAACAGCGTCGACAGGTCAGGGACCACAACGAGAAAAGGAAAACATCCCGATCCTGCAGGGATAACGGAGGCAACGCAGGGACGGGCCAACAGCCAGTGGGACGAACAGGGACCGCGACAGCGGCTCAAGCAGGCCCAGGAGGGAGCGGAGACGATGTCAAATCCGGAGGTTGCGTTTGCGGCGACGACTGCGGCGACGGCTGCTGCGGCGACGGCTGCTGCGGTGACGGCTGCTGCGGTGAGAGCTGCTGTGGTGAGAGCTGCTGTGGCGACGGCTGTTGCAATGGCTGTTGCTGCGGCGGCAGCGGCGGCTGCTGCGGCGACGGCAGCTGCGATGGCTGCGACGGCTGCGACAACATCAGCGGCGGCGGCTGCGATGGCGTCGCCTGCTGCGGGAGAGCCGGCTGCGGGAGCGACGGCTGCAACGGCTGCGGCAGCTGCGCCGGCTGTGGCGTTGCCATGGGCTGCGACGGCAAAAGCTGCGGCTGTGCCGGACCGTCAGGCTGTGCCGCGGCAGCCAACGCCCCAGCCTGCATGGCGGCACCGAAGCCGGGCTCCGTAGCTGCGTGTGAGCTGTCGCTGCTTGTGTATAAGCCAGGTGAGCTCGCCGGCGACGAGGCGTCGTTCCACGGACCGGGAATGATTGGAAGCACCATCCGCCGGCGAGAAGAAGAAAGAAACCAGATAGGAAACTCTCCCATACTTACTTAAAATGGCATGAAGGTTGCAGCGAGAAGCGGCGAGAGACTGCGAAAAGAGATAGGAAGAGGCAGACTCCCTAGGGTGGGCGACGGCTAGCGCATCACACCCCTCTCCTTAAAATCCCTGTGTGGTGGCGGCGTGCCGTCCTCCCATCCCTCCCTTGGGTTGTCTGTTTTCTTTCTTTCTTTCTTTACTTACTTAAAATAAATAAATAAAAACGGACACCTCTCTACTGTGAGATGGGTAAAAAGGAACAGGTCCCCGCCCTTGCGATCTTTGTGCAGGGTTCTTTGTGGGTGTGGTCGGCGACTAGCCGGGGTCGTCCTCCCGCTGGGGGACTAACTAGCACTAGCCGTCTTCCACATGGTCCCTCGGGTCCCTGCTGCTCCTAATCTCGTCGTACATCCTCCTGCTGATCTCCGCAAAGTCCTGCTCCCTCCCTCGTCTCGCCCTGCGCGTTTGCTCCGCCTCACCGTCTTCTGCCCTGCGTCGTCTGGCGACGGGTCCTCCATAGAGTCCGTACGCGGCAACGACCAACGTGGACGCCTGCGCCCACACCGCGCGAGCGACGTTGGCCAAGCCGGACAGGTGTCGAAGCAGCCAGGAGACGCACCCGGCCAAGGCAGACCCGACGCCTCGGAGCACGGTGGCGGAGCGGCGGACGGCAGAGCTCCGGCCTGAGCATGCGGAGGCGACGGCGAGCGCCGTCGAGCACGCCTGCGCCCACACCGCGCGAGCGAGGTTGGCCAAGCTGGATAGGCGTCGAAGCAGCGAGGAGACGCACCCGGCCAAGGCAGACCCGACGCCTCGTCGAGCCGCCGCAATGGGCGGTGCTTGCCCCTTCCTCGGTGAGCTCGCTTCGCACCTCGAAGCGCTCCTCCTCGCTCCTCCTCGCACACCACGCGCAACTGTGCCACGTCGCCGTCGAGCAAGAGGGGCTGCAGGAAGAAGACGCGCCGCAGCAAGCTGCTCGCCGCTTCGGTCGCCGCGTCGGTCGCCGCGTCGCTCGCCGCGCGCGCCATCTCGAGGTAGCCAGAGCCAGGTAAGCGACGCGGCCCTGGTCCGCCACCTAGCTGCGCAGTGCGCCGGCTGCCGGAGATGCGTAGCGAACGAGCCCGCTCGGCGCCACCGCGTCCACTCCCTGCGCTAGCGGATGCGCCTGCTCCGACCACGCGAAGGACCGGCGCACGTACTGCGGCGACGAAGCCGCCGCCGGCCTGCCCGCGCCACGCGCCACGCCGTCGTACTGGAGCAGCGTGTGCACGATCGTGCCGCTGTACCCAAACGAGCTCACGCCGCCGGCGCAGAGCCCGCTCGCCTGCGCGTAGCACGCCGGCGCGGCCGACAGCTGGGTCGGAAGCGTGCACGAGATGCCGTCGAACGCCTCCACCACGTGCGGTTTGACAGCGCGCAGCTGGCTGTTCGGCGGCGCCACCCGGTCACGCACACCGACCGCCAGCCGCAGCAGACCCGTGATGCCCGCCGCTGGCTCGGCGTGCCCGAGGACAGGCACACGAGCCATAGACTCGAACTGCTGCTGCGCCGCGGGTGGGTAGATGGTGATGTCCGCAACAGGCAGGCTCTTTGAGGGTTGCCGACATGGATCAGCCTTGCTCCTCTTGTGGACCACTCTGCCCACTACACGGGTGAGGCGTAGATACACGGGTGCCTTTCTTCGCGGTAGCAGCCAGAGGCCAAAGTCCGACCAAGCTCGGCCCAGGGCTGCGGCAGCTTGCATGTCGGCCAGACAGGCAAGGTTGGCATTCCTCCCATTCATTGCAGAGAAGCGCTTGTTGTACCCGACCATCGACCCATGTCCACCACTGACGCCAAGCAGCTCCGCTGTGTGCGTAATCCCGACCATACTTTTTGGGAGGTGCAGAATGCGGCTCAGACGGCGAGATCGCACCCGTCGCCGCCGATCCGATGGGGTGTCGGCTGCCTGAATGGGAGTGGAAGCGGGGCGCGGAAGGAGAGATGTGGGCCCTCTCGCCTTGACCGGCCGACGGGCGATCCGGAGTGTAAGTTTAAGAGAAGAAAAACTCGGACTTACCGACTGCACTCCAAGTGCTCCAAGTGCTCGAGTTGCTCCATCGGAGAGACAGCACTCAAGACCTCATCCGATGCCGAGAGACCCTCTGTATCTAGAAAGAGCTCGTGCCGCTCTCTCGTCTCGCAGAGCGTGTTTTGTTGGGTTGTTGACGCACCTCAAGGTACGAGAGAATGAATAAAAAAATGAAAGCCGGACGACGGGACAGAACCACACCAGTATAGACCAGAGGGAGCTGCTCACAGCGCACGAGCTGTGAACACCTGGCGAGGTTCTCGCCGGGAATGACAACCCCCACCCCGCCCCCGCCCTACACATCACCCAGGACCTAGCCGGTGTGGTTGAAGGGAACTTGCTGGGGTGGTGTGAAACGCCGATCCCCCCGCTCTCCATCGGGCCACATAGGTAGAGGTAGCGAGCGCCAGGCCCCAAATGACTCTAACACTCACACATCATTTGGGGCCTGGCGCCCTGTTCACCGAGACGTGCAGACAGGGTTGCCAGGTGAGAGCGAATGCGGAATGGCGCGGTTCACGCCTCGCACAACAGAGAGAGAGATGCGCTCTGCATGGTGTGGGACATAAAAGAGAGCGAGTACTTGGGCGAGTAGGTAGGCCGTGCGGTCGACGCTGCCGCGCGCGACTTTGCGCGCGAGGCGGCGCAGCTTGAGAACGGCGGTGGGCGATTCATAAGCCGCCGCCGAACGTCTCGTGGAGCAGCAGGTTGAAAGTTGTTGCGCTTTGGCTTGACAAAGATCGCGTCGTGGTAGAAACCGCGATGCGCCTTCATTTATTTATTTCAGCGGCCGCGCCTCGCAGCGGACACACAAACTCGTTGGTTTTTTACGCCGGAGTCAGAGCGCGCGGGGGGCATCCGCCATCCGGGTAGCGATCAGAAGAGTTGCAACTCGCAATTGGCTCGACGCGCCACAGTGAGACAATGAAAAAATATTCTTAGCTTCAAGCCCCCCTCCGAGACTAGGGACAGAACCACACCAGTATATAGACCAGAGGGAGCTGCTCACAGCGCACGAGCTGTGAACACCTGGCGAGGTTCTCGCCGGGAATGACAACCCCCACCCCGCCCCCGCCCTACACATCACCCAGGACCTAGCCGGTGTGGTTGAAGGGAACTTGCTGGGGTGGTGTGAAACGCCGATCCCCCCGCTCTCCATCGCGCATCGGGCCACATAGAGGTAGCGCCAGGCCCCAAATGATGTGTGCCCATCTCCTCCTCCCGGGTACACCAGCCTCCGGCGGGGCGGTTCCGGATCCCCCAGGTCATTCCGAGCGGGTCCGTACGGTGGCGGCCCCGTCGGCGGCGGGGGTGGAGGCGGTGGCAGGGGCCGCTCGTGGAATAATTCTTTCAAGCTCCGCGTGCCTTTCAGAGCAGGCGTGCTGCGCCTCGCTGTGCTACGCGCGGGCCTCGCCGCCCTCTCACACTTGCACTCGCGACCGCGTCGCCCCGCATGCGACCGTGGCGCCACGCGCGCGCCAAGCGCCCCGCACCGCCGCTTCGGGGGCGGCCGCATATGCTCACTGTGTGCCCCGCTGCGCTGCGCAGACGCTGCGATGTCGGGCTTCGCGACTGAGCCAAAGCTCTTCGGAAAGTGGTCGTTCGAGGAGGTGGAGGTCAAGGACATATCGCTGGAGGATTACATCGCGTGCAAACCGAAGTATGCGCAGTTCCTGCCCCACTCGCAGGGCCGGTGGCAGAAGAAGCGCTTTCGCAAGGCGCAGTGCCCTATTGTCGAGCGCATGGTTTGCTCGATGATGCGGCACGGCCGCAACAACGGCAAGAAGCTGATGGCTGTGCGCATCGTCAAGCACGCCTTTGAGATCGTCCACCTGCTGACGGACTCCAACCCAGTCCAGGTTTACGTCGACGCAGTCATCAACTGCGGCCCACGCGAGGACTCGACCCGCGTCGGCGGCGGCGGCGCTGTGCGGCGCCAGGCGTGCGACGTGTCGCCGCTGCGCCGTGTCAACACGGCCATCTACCTGATGACGACGGGCGCGCGCGAGGCTTCGTTTCGCAACATCAAGACGATTGCCGAGTGCCTCGCCGATGAGATCATGAACGCCGCAAAGGCGCGCGCCGCCGCCGCCCGCCTCTGTGCCGCCGAGACGCCCACCCACTAACGGCGGCTTGCTGCCGCCCACCGGACGCGCGTTTCCGCCGCTGCCGCATTCGCCGCCCTTCGCGCTGCTGTCGTGTGGCCCGGACCCTCACGCCCGACCCACAGCCCCGCGCGCACGCACAGCTGTGCGATCGCGCAGGGAGCGTGTGCGCGAAGGGGGGGAGGGCGTGTGGGTGGGGGCCACCGAATTGGCCCCGTTTAAAGGGGGGCCCTTTTTGGGTGGCGGGGGGAATTCTTGGAGGGGGGGCCCCCCCCCCCCCCCCTTGCCTCTTGCCCCACCGCCTCGAGCGCGCGGCCGCCTCTCTCAGCCACCACCGGCTGCTTGCTTGCGCAGGGCTCGTCCAACTCCTACGCCATCAAGAAGAAGGACGAGATTGAGCGCGTCGCCAAGTCCAACCGGTAAACAGTGCCCTCGCCGTGACGTGCGGAGGCCCTGCCGTACCCACCACCTGTTCGCTCTGGACGCACGCCCTGCGTGGGCACGACCTGGCGTTCGTGCGCAACAACTCGCCGTCCTTGTCTGTTTACTCCCCACACGGTCTTGTCTCTCTCGTGCGGAGACACGCACGCGATGCTCGGAGGCCAGAGAGCGGAGATCGTGTGGCGCGGGGGACGTGGTTATGCTCTTTGCTCTCAATTTTAGCCTCTACAGTACAAACCGAGGACCGCGAGGATGAAACTGGGAGTGGCTCACTTCGAAAGAAGAGAACCCATCAAATCCAACCGTACAGGGGGACGCGCGGCGGGCCACGCCGCAGCGCCGCGCGCGCGGCGGCCGGCGCGCGACCGCGAGACGCGCCCGCGCGAGACTATATTAGAGGCGAGCCGAGCACCGACAGGAGCTGGACTGCTTGGAATCATAGCGACATGCGGCGTAAAGGCGGGGATGGTGGCCTCAGGTCAGGGGGCCTCGTGCCCGTTCAGCGTGCGCGTCGCGACCGAGGCAGAGTAGGAGCGCTTGCATGCGTCCTAAGAGGCAAAGCCAAAGCGAGGAGCGGGGTGAGGAGGAGCGGGGCTGTGGGCGAGGACGTCTGTGGCACCTTGAAGCCCTTGCCAAAGGAGAAGGTGGGCGCGACGGTGGCTGCGGAGGCGGAGCAGAGACGGGTCCGAGTCAGGTGCGGGGGCGGCACCAGGGTGGGGGCGCCAGGTGAGGCACGCCTGCAATCTGCATCTTCTCGCCCGTCTGCGGGTTGCGCCCCTCCCTGGCAGCCCGCTCCTTGGAGTCGAAGGTCCCGAACCCCACGAGCGACACCTGACACGCTCACGGGCGGATATCTCGCGGAGGCGCGGAGGAGCGCCGGGCGAGCGCGCGCGCCTTGTTGCCATCAGCAACCGACTCGACGATCACGTCGAGCGCTGCGAGCGGGGAGGGCAAAGAGGGGTGAACGGCAGGGACGCGAGGCGCGCGTGCCGCTCTCGCGCCCACCGGACGAGAGGACGGCGCCGGCCATCTTCTTGGAGACGCCAGCGCGGGCCGCGATGGCGTCAACCAGGTCGCCCTTGGACACCGCCATCCGCACCGAGCTCCGCGCAGCAACGTGGCCACCCCACGCTCGCGGCGCCGGCCGGAAAGCCTCCGCGCACGAGAGGAGCGCGCAGAGCACCGTCGCCAACAACCTAACCATTTTAGACTCTAGAAAAAGGCTTTTTTTTTTCCGTTCGCACGCAGGTGGGCTGCTGCGGTGCCGCCGCCTCTGCCTCAATGCGTCTGAAGGAGTGCGCTCGTTGCCACGAGGTGGAGTATTGCTCTGTCGGGTGCCAAAAGAGCGATTGGAAGGCGCACAAGAAGATCGGTGGCAAGGCGGGCCCCCAGTAGATCGCTCGCTCGCAGCACTTGATCTTAGTTGAGGTGGATCCTAGGTGGCTGTGACTCAGCAACATCTTGTGAGTTGTGTTTCTTGCGTAGCGCCTTTTACACTTGTTGTGTTGTTTGGTATTGTTAAAAATCTCTCTCACATGACAACACACGTCATTGCTAAAAATCTCTCTCACATGCACAAGCCACAACATACATGTACATGTCCATGCACATGTGCATGCACATGTGTGAGAGAGATTTTTGAAAACCAACAAGAAATCACGACTCTCACAGTGATTTGGGCTCGGCAGCTTGTCAGCCCTCAGCCGAAGCTGGGGCCACGTCTCCAAATTTTCGCGCGGGCAGAGCTTAGGCGATCCGTCCGATTCGGAGAACGAGGGCGAGGGCGAGGAGGAGGCGGAGGCGGAGGAGGAGGCGGGGAGGCGGAGGACGAGGACGAGGACGAGGACGAGGACGAGGACGAGGACAGCGACAGCGGCGACACACCCCTCAAGCTACAGATCAACCTCACGACGGAGGTGGAGAGGGAGGTGGACCTCTTCTTGGAGTCGGAGGAGGAGCAGTTCACCTTCGAGGAGTTCTACTGCACGCTGCCCCCGTGGGCGCGCGGCCGGCAGAAGGAGGTGCTGGCCCGTGGCCGCGCTCAAGCGGCTCGTCAACGGCTACAGTGTGTCGCCGGCGAAGCTAATCATGGACGACGACGACGACCAGAGCGTGGACATGGACGAGCTCGTGTTCCGACCCAATCCTGAGCGCGGTCTCGAGCTCAGCAACTCGGACGACGTCACGAGGAGTGATTAGACGGGGAGAGGTCGCTTGGTGTCTCTAGTATTTCGAGATACTAATTTATTCACAGCTGCGGCGAGCGTGTGCGGTGTGACCCTCGAGCCAACCCGACCGACCCCCCCCTCGGTCTGCGCTCCGACCGACCAGACCCCCCCTGCGGTTTGCGGTCTTCCGCGGCCGCCGACCGGACCCCCCCTGCGGTCGGTCGGTCTGCGCTGGGCGCTCAAACCGCGAAGTCGGCCTGTTCACTACAAGATGACGCTCGTATAACCTCTCGTTAAGGTCGTTGCTAAAAATCTCTCTCGAACCACTGACCTGGAACGCTGGAAGAGAAGGGAGTCGTGATTTCTTGTTGGTTGGTTTTCAAAAACCTCTCTCTCTGACCTGGTCTCTGCCGCGCGCTTGTCGGTTGCGGAGGTCTGTGTGGCGACTTGGAGCACTTGGAGTGCAGTGTCATTAACCTCACATCCAGGGCCAGGGGGGAAGGGATTTCTCGAATCAGTGCGCAGATGTTGCCGTTGCAGTGGTTGGCCTCTAGCGCCGCCAGAGTGTGCCTCACACGTCACACGCACCTGTGCAACTCTCGCGGGCATGTCGCGGGCCGACCCTCTCACACAGACAGACGATTCCGACAGAACAGAGACAGGCACGCACGGGCAGAAGGGAAAAAGAGGGAGGAGGCGAGGCTGCCCCCGCTGAGCCCACAATCCGCACCACACACGCACGAGTACAAATACGGGTGGGGCACTTTTAGGCCTCCGCGTTCAAAAATTAGGTTTTGTGTGGGCCTGTGTGGTGCTCTGTAGAGAGGTCGACTGGAACGACTGGTGCGTCGTCTCAGCAGTGAGCGGCATTCACCTGGTGGTCGTTGGGAAGGGAGAGTCTCAGCAGAGAGCATGCAGGGACAGGCATTGGTAGGGAGTTGTGGACAGACCGAAGAGGACAGAAGCCGAGTCACTCGAGTATGTGGCCGCACAGAGGAGCGAGACGCGAGACGCCGCCAGCCGCAGCCGAGCCGCAGCCGAGCCGCGAGCGAGCTGGTTGATCGACGCAGGCAGCTGCCGAACTCCAGGCCGCGTCAACACTCCCAGGGAGAGGACAATGCCGAGACGGCGGCACACCCGCACAGGTGCCACATCCATCAAGCAGTGGCTCTCCACGTACGCCTCGCGTGCGCATTCATTCTTCTGATTGAAGGGGTTCACGGCCGGCAGCGACTGCCCATACAAGGGAGTTCGCGGCGGGTCCATGTCCGCCCTTCCCGCCCCGACCGTGTAGAAAGTGGCACTGCTCAGGGCTACTGAATGGTCCGACTCGCGACTGGCTCCATTCTGATCTCAACGCTGTGACAAATCCACACTCTGTCCACACTGGGAGCTCGCCCGTCACGCAGCCATTGTGGCGCAGAGACGAGGGTGTGCTCTAACCAATTAGTTGTGGACGGATGGATGTTGCGCATATTCAGTGCCAGCGGCGAGAGGCCGAGGCGAGACGGTCGCCGAGGGCGACCTAGGGACGTTCGGACTCCGCCACGACTTAAACTTCTTTTTCGCCTTTGGAGCAAGAAAACGAGAGATTTCACAGCCCGGTGATAGGCTCACCGCCCCACGGCAAAGGCTGCTGACCAAACGGTGAATGGTCGAACGCGGAATGGTCCTTGTGACTCAGCTGCAACCTGCATCCAGAAACAAGCTACAAGGTGCAGACCACAGAAATTTCTTGCAAACAAGGCGCCACATTTCAGAAAGGTTTTAGGTATGTTGTTGCGATTTGTTTTGTTGTCGATTTATGTAGCGGGTTTCTTTTCCGCCGGGTATTCCGCCGGGTATTTCCGCCGGGTAGTATTTCCACAATCGTAAACTCGAAGCGACGCGTCCCGGCCGACGACTCCTTATCATCCAGCACCGACCGGCCGTGCGGCGCCCCTCCATCTCCATCTCCCCGCTAGTGGAGGGGGGCTAAGGCGTACAATATTTTATTTCGCGGCGGGGGTGCATCTGCGTCGGGGGGAGCCAGACACCGCTGAGAGTCCGAACGCATCACCGCAGAGCATCACAACGCAGCTCGCAACATGCACGAACCGCCGGTCACCCGCCGCTGGGAGCGGGTGGCACTTGCAGAATCTCGAGCCTCGGCGCCAGGCGTCCCCGCCACGGACAGGCTTCTGACGGTGCGAGCGCCGTCGCCGCGTGTGCCCGCCTGTGCGGGTGTGCATTTGACGATTGTCGCCACCCCGTGGCCGCCCTTCCCTACCTACAGGTCCACGCGGGCTACAGGAGCTCTGGACTGCCCGTGCTTGCCCTCCAGCACCTCTACACCGCCGGACCGACAGAGCGGCCAAATCAACGGCCTCTGCCAGGCGCCGCCATCCCGCCAACAGTAGCAGCACCTCCGCCCACCTCCGCGAGCGTCCCGTCGCTCACCCGTCGGCAGGCGCGGCAGTCAGCAGCCGATCCGAATCTGGAGGCGGCGGTGCCTCTGACTCGTCGCTGCCGCCCGCAGCCCTCGTGGCGAGCGTGCAAGCCGAGGTGGAGGCGATGGTCGGCGCCCCGCTCGCGTCCGCCGACCGTGGACTGATGGAGCTTGGCCTGGACTCGTTTGACATCGAGCAGCTCGCTCAGCGGCTCACCAGCCGCCACCCACTCGCCGCCCTGGCGCCGTCCGATCTCTTCAGCGCCCCGACGGTGCGGGCACTCGTGCTGCTCGTCCACCGGCGGTCCACCGGCAGCGGACCAGAGCCGGCCGCCTCAGCTCTCGCCCCGTGCCTGGCCGAGCGTGTGGCCTGGTTCTCCGGCTTCTCCGCCAACCTCCCGCCAAACACCGGGCTAAAAGGCGCCCGCGAGATGGCGGCGTCGGGTGCGGACGCGGTGAGCGAGGCGCCCGCGGAGCGTTGGTCTCTTTCCGGCGACGGCACAGCCGTGGCGGGCCGGATGCGCCACGGCGCGCTGCTCGGAGACATCGACCTCTTCGACGACGCCTTCTTCGGCGTCTCGCCGGCGGAGGCGGCGGCGATGGACCCGCAGCAGCGGCTGCTGCTCGAAGGCGGCTATGCTGCACTGCACGGCGCGGGCCTCTCGCGCCGCGAACTGCTCGGAAGCGTGACGGGCGTCTTCCTCGGGACA